TAGAAGTATATTGATAAGGGGTGAGTGATACCTTCCTCTTTACCTTCCTTGATGGATTTGGGAGTAAAATTATCTGTCCTCGTTCTACCAGAAAAATTGGTCCTGATGCTTTGCTGGTGGGCAGGTAGGGCCTTTTTTATTCCACTTGCTTTCTTTGGTAAAACTATCAAAAATGAGGAAGGAGGATAGTGCTGAGACATAAAGCATTTACTCTACTCATTAACAGTTCCTTTGCTCTTCTGCTGATCTTCTAGCCTTCCAAATATGGGTTGTCTGCTTAAGGGGGCAGCATAAGAATTTTTACAGATTCCGCATCTTGCTTCAATGTCAAGTGTCTTGTTAGCACCTTGTCTTGAATAAGAATGATAACAATAACAATTTCTTTCTGTAGATTATGGTAAGGAACAATACCAAATAACACAACACAAAAGGAGCATAAAAATAATTCATATTAAAATATATCAATAACTATTTCAAAAACCATGATGTAAAAATAACCTGGATAGGCTAGCTTGAAGAGACTGGTCTTTACCACTGATTTAAATACAGACAGCTTCTTGAATAGATGGATCTATTCTGGCAGGCTATTCCACAGTCTGGGGCCAGCTGGGGAAAATGTCTTCTGAAGCTGCACCTGCACTACAGAAATAATCTAGTTTGATACCACTTTAACTACCATTGCTCAATGCTGCAGAATCCTGGGATTTGTCATTTTTTTGTGGCACCAGAGCTCTGTGACAGAGAAGGCTAAATATCTCACAAAACTACAGTTTCCAGCATTCCATAGCACTGAGACATGGCAATGAAAGTGGTGTCAAACTGAATTATTTCTGAAGTGCAAATGCAGTCTGAGTAACAGTCAAATTAATTCTAGAACACTTGGCCTTTTCAGACTGCTAGAAATAGTGCAAATTGAGTCCACTTCCCTGACTCAGTGCTAGGGAATCATGGGAATTGTATTTTTTTTTCTGAGACATTGAGCCTTCTCTGTCAGAGAGCTCTGGTGCCACAATAAAATACAGTTCCCATAAAATCAAACTGAAGCCTGCTAACTAGTTTGAAGTGGTTTAAGTGACCTTTGTTCACACTTGAGCTCAATTGCTGAAGCTCCTATGCTAAACCCATTTAACATGCATATTTTTGATGCTCTTTTGCAATAAATCAATTCTGTGCAAGTGTGAATGGAATGCGGATCAGAATCAATTTTCTGTGATGTGATCAGCAATCTTTGGGTGGAGAGAAGGTCCATTTTGAATCAATTCATTAGTCAATGTGAATGACAAGTGGGTTATTTTATTAAAAAAAGATTTTTACAAAGAAAATGTGATTAGGGAAAATGTAGTGTGAACCATACTCCACTGTTGAACCGATCCATCAATTCGGATCATAAACCAATTTATTTGTAAGTGGGACTAAGGCTTGAGTTTTGAGGAACCAGGGAAAGATATCTCTCCATTGGCCTAGCTTTGCACTGTCCTAGCACTGTATGTTGGAATTGTGTTATCCTTGCTGTATAAAAAGTCTACCATTGCCTTACCCTATGCCTAGCTCAGCATGCCTATTTTTTTTTATAACTGGCTGTCAGTCAAAGTGCAGTAACAAATTCATTTAGATAAAACTGTAATGAAGACCTTGAAACTAGGAAATTACTTAAGTCCAAGTTTTCTATGGGATCTTTTATCCTATGTTTATGGAGGTGGCTAGGGAATGGGCTGATAGAGTGAAAGCTTTCCAATGAACTGTATTTTATTTGGGGATTCAAACATACGAAGACATTCTAACATAGGGCCTCGGCAGATGGCTTATTGAGCCATCTCTGAGGCCAGGAAGAGGAGGAGCAGCCGCACGCGCGGCGCTCCTTCCTCTCCCTGAGGTCGTCCTCGGAGCCGCCAGCCCTCCGCACGGCCGGCACTCCGAGAACAACTTCCCGCAGCAGCGACCGGACGCGCTGTGGCGGAAAAGACAGGGAAAGTGTGCCCGACGCTTTTAGGGTGCACTTTCCCTGTCTTAAGGAAGGAGCGCTGATTTAGCGCTCCTTCCAGGGACGCCGCAGGAGCACTGCGGTGCGGCTGCCATGGCCCCGCGGCGCTCCGGACCAGGGCGTCCTGGACGCCCTGGTCTGCATCCCCCCATACACTCATGCATATAAGAACTCAGGAGTAAAGTAGTTAGCTTGGATATGAAACACAAGGATTTCTAATGGTAATAATTACTTGAAGGAAGCTGCTTCAACAGTGAATGAAGATGGATAGACTCAACCATTATGAGAGGAAAGTCAATGGAAAGAGCTGGGACTCTAGCTAGAAATCACAGCGGTACAGTGTCATCATGAAATCTAGCAAGATCCCAATGTGCCTGAGATTTTGGAGAGAATTTATACCCTTAAACTTAGCCTGAGGTGAAGAGTTGGTATTGTATATCAAAGGGATTCCAATCACTATGCTTTGAAGTTAACAATTTCCAAGGAGAGGAGATAGGATGTTAATGTTATCTCATCTTCAGCTGGACACATCCTGGCTGGCACTCACAAATCCTCTAGGTGTGAATGTCCTGCTTTGCTACTCCTAAGCCTGGCCTTTTTGATCTGCAAATTGTTGTAAATGTAGATGTGACCTTTTTGGGTGCCTACATGATGTGCACACTTTGAGTTCATGCAGTAAAGCAGGGGTAGGCAACCTTTCCCCTTTAAGGGCCAAGGGACTTCAGCTCCCAGAAGCCTCAGCCATGTTGGCCAATAGTCCCATGTTGGCCAATAGCTCCTGGGATTCTGGGAGCTGAAGTCCCTCGGCCCTTAAAGGGGAAAGGTTGCCTACCCCTGCAGTAAAGGCTCCTCCCAGCCCAGAGCTATGGCAGGGACCCAAAGCAGGGGTCTTTATATCAAATCAACCATTGTAACAAAACCTTATTATCAGACTCTTCTTGTAAAAGCGATGATATCTCAGGAGTAGACCTTCCCCATCCTTATCTTCTTTGCCTCCTCATGCAACCCAAATCTGCTCTGCAGGATCTCCAACTCTCCTTTCTCACTTTTGTTTTTGGTGTGAGGCAAGGAAAGAAAGCAACTTGGATTTCAAGAGGAGCCTCTCTCTTTTTTTCCCTTCCTAACAGAACTTTAAAAAATTCCTGAAGTATTCACATGGTCAGAAGGAGTAGTGAGTGGCCAGTATCTGTAAATGTCCCCCCAACAATACCTGAAGTTAGAAGAACATCTTGATAAAAGTCAGGTTTGTGACTAACATCACCATATTTTTTTCTCCTTTATGGTTTTTAACATCTTTGCCCGATTAAGGAAGCCAGTGGAGCTTCAAAAGCTTGCAATATGTAATTTGTGCATTTTAGTTGGTCAATAAAGATATCACTATTGTATTTTGCTACAAGGCCAATATGCCTCCACTAGATAAATTAATGAATAATCATACATCTGTAGCAGCACATCTGGACCATTTTGTGGTCAAATACCTCAGCTAAGTGCAAATGCTGCCACATTTCCTAAGTACACCCTTTTTTATTTTAAAAAACCAGTAGGTATCAATAATTTCAAATGTTACATCCAGAGTAAAAAAATAAATGTCCGCACCATTGTGAGAGGAGTCATATAGTTACAGTGCATGCTCTTCTTGAAGATTAGTATCATCCCAGAATCCCAGAGTGGGAGTTGCTTGCATTATCTCAATGTGCAGGGCAGTGTGAGAGTCCTTGTTCTGTCATTATTTCTTTACAGGTGTCTGCAGACTGTAAGAAAATTCTAAAGACAAGTCAATTTCCTGTAGCGATAAACAGAATAAATCAACTGATAGAAAGAGAATGGAAAAATATCACTTTCTGGGGCAAGCAAGGAACGAATGACTCAAAAACCTCACACTCCATTGCTTCACAGTATTTTTCAAATGCTTTCTGATTCCTGGAGTTTTCGAACCTAATTCAAAGAACTGGTCTGAAAAGAAATGTCAAATCCAGCAAAACATTAAATGGTGGGAATGCTCCCCCATGTTAGCCACTTGGGCCCTTACTCGATTCTTCATGATAAATAATTTCTTCTTATAAATGCATCCAAGCTACAGTAATTTGGTAGGACTATGCATCTGTAACTTTTAATTATCAGTTTAATCAGGCTGTGAATAAACTAAATAAATTATTTTTTTTTTAAAAAAATCATAATTGGAGCAAATGTTTTAACTGCATTTGAAACCTGGCCAACACCTGGCATGATTACAAGAATACAGAAAGGGAGGTGCATTTTGTGAAATTTGTGATTCTCACATTTCAGGCCCACAACATAATTTTTCTTTAAATCTGAGCTTCAGTGACACCAGCAGCAATTACCAGAGCTCACAGTCACTAAAGCAAATTATTTTTCCAATATGTGGATAAAACTGACTGCCATTTGTGCCTGCAAGTTTTATCATTGAATATCTCACTACCTTATGTGAATAGGCACCTGGATGTTCTTTTTTTAAAATGCGAATTTAAATGCCCTGTGTTTGAAAAATGATGATTACAGCTTGGAGGAGCTGGTGACTGCAGTCTCTGATGATGGCTTGAGGATGATCTGTTTGCATATCATTAAGGCATAATCATAGGCAGATATTTCTCTATGTGCATGGTTAATCTTGATGTTCATTGTCTCTGCTACAAAGCTCCAGGGATCACTGTTTACACTACTGTGTGAATGCTAATGTCTTTCTGCATTCAGAGTGCCAGCAACTCACTTCTTGTCTTTTCAGAGGTATCATACCACTCTATTGTCTTAGAACAATATTTTTTGAACAGCAATCTCAAGAAAATTGAAGTTTAAATAATATTAATGCTCACCTTATAGTAAGAATTTGCTGGGAAAATACGGAGGAATTCTGCCTCGTTCCTTAACAGCTCAGTCCTATGTGTGTTTGTTGTTATGGTGTGCTTTCAATTGTTTCCAGATTATGGACACCTTGTCACAGCTTTTGCCTCCTTCTGAGGCTGAGAGAATGACTTGCCTAAGGTCATCCAGTGAGTTTCCATGGTTGTGCAGGGATTCAAACCCTGGACTCCAAGAGTCATAGTCCAATGCTCAAAGCATTATGCCACACTGGCTGTCTACCAGAATGTCACATCGTTTTCAGTGGAACCTACTCCCTCATGAATGTGTTTAGGGCTACAGGCTCATTTTTCCCTCTTATTTTTTTCTTCCCACCTTTGAAATCCTTTATTTTATTTTATTGCTGCTGCTTGGACTTCCACTATTATAAGAAGATACAAATGTAAATAAATTTTTACCACTACTATTACTAATGTTTTAATTAAAATAAAGTAAAATCTGTTGATGAAGAAAAGGTGCATGATATGTAAGAAAATACGAAAAGGGTCCTCAACCTTTGGTCTTCCAGATATATGGACTTTAACTCCCAGGAACCATGGACAATGTTGTCACTGATAAGGATTCTGGAAACTGAAGTCCAAATCTGGAGGGCTAAAGCTTGAAAATCACTATCTGAGTAGCATTTAGGCTTAGCATATGATCTTATTTGGCTAAGTATCTCCAAGTGCCATCACTCTGTGGTAAATCTGATTGTGTTGCAAGGGGCAAATAAAGGCAGATATGATTAAGATCCTTGGGATGAATAATATAATTTTCCAGCCCAAGAAAAAATTATAAATACACCTAACAAAATTAGAAGGAACCCATATTTTCTGAATTACTTCACTCTAAATAAACTGAGCTGCATTTCAGGATAAAACAATCCACAACAATATATGCACTGGACTACAAACATTTACATCTGCATTTTATCATAAGTATTATTTCAAATATTTGACTGACTGTTTAGATAAGAACACCTGTTTATCATACCTGTAAATGAGAGTGTGGCATAATGATCTGAGTGTTGGACTATGACTCTGGAGACCAGGGTTTGATACCCAGCCTCGCAATGACACCCACTGGGTGACTTTGGGCAAGTCATACTCTCAGCCTCTGGAGAAGGCAAAGGCAAACCTCCTCTGAACAAATATTGTGGTGGGGAACCCCATAATATTTGTTCTAGGGTCACCATAAGTTGGAAATGAAGGTACACAGCAACTACGAACTACAAAAATGGTATGTCAGCATTATCTTCTTACCCAATCATCCCTGCTTTTTTAATATTATCTCAACAAAATAATATCATATTGTGACTAAAAGCACAAACCTATACATATATAATCAGAATTAGGTCCCATTGTGTTTATTGAGGCTCACTCCTGGTATATGAGTACAGAATTACATCCTATGATTATGGAGGGGGAGAAGAAGGATAGCATCACTATTTGTTGAAACAGTATGCAAATATTCTAAGTCTAAATAAAATTATTCTTGCTCATTTAATTGTTCCTCTCAAGTAGCTTTTTTCTTATGGCTTCAGTTAAGAAAATATTATATGTAAGAGACTTGAGCAAACAATCACAATGGCATTCTTGCTTTAAAAAAGACTAAACCAAAAGCTGACTGCTTGTTCTTAAAATAGGCAGACTGTCAGAAATAATGCAACTTGAGTCCACTTTAACTACTCTGGCTCAGTGCTAGGGAATCATGGGAACTGTAGTTTTTTTTTCTGATTCATTAAGCCTTCTCTGTCAGAGAGCTCTGGTGCCACAATAAACAATGGTAGCCATGATTCCCTAGTACTGAGCCAGGGCAGTTAAAATGGACTCAAGTTGCATTATTTCTAGCAATCTACAAAGGCCCTAAGTATAATACAAAAATCCCAAGTACTATTTTCCAATAGCAGATGGTGATAATCTTAATCTGCATCTAATACTATGAATTTAATAGCAATGATACAAAATAAAGTATGGTTTCAGTATACTGACTGATGAGCCAATGTAGTGTAGTAGTTTGGGTATTGGACTGCAACTTTGGAGAACAAGTTTCAATTCCCTGCTCCGCCATGTAACCCAGTGGGTGACCTTGGGCAAATCATATACTCTCAGCCTCAGAGGAAGGCAATGGCAAACCTCCTGTGAACAAATCTTGCTAAGAAAACCTCATGATAGCATCATCATAAGTTGAACATGAATTGAAGTCACACAACAACAACAACAATTCAGTATGCTGATTCAAATACAGGCAAAAAACAATGATAAAGAGGTCAATAAGTTCTGATGTAAGGTTGTGAAGAGATCTCATCATTACTCAGACTGTTGTCATGACTGGCTGTCTAAGCCCAACACCAAAACATGTCAGGGGCTCTCCAACCCC